GTCCTGTAAAGGATACGCAACTAACCACACACACACACAAAAATGATTAGATGACCATTTGTCCCGATTATCGGGCACAGTCCCAGAATCAGATTATACGTACAATATTATTTTTAAGAGCTGATTATACTCTGCGTCATTCCTGCCTGATCCGGACTTCCGGTTACTTCTTGACCGTCGACAGCGATATTATAACCTTACAGTTGAACGGGGTTTACCAGAATTGTAGTTTTCTCACGATTGAGGTGTTAATACTGCGCACTGCAATCCTGGAAGAGACAAACTGCAACTGTATATTAGGCATTTCCGTGCCTGCTCAGACGTTGGATTTAGTAACACTTAAAAGTACCTCAAATGACTGTTACAATTGGAAACAATATCTTGCCACAATCGTTCGACATGTTTTGAGCAGGCAGGCTTTGGAGTACATCACAGAAGTTTTAAACATCAGCAGAAGAGAAACTATGATGGATGGTAAAAAATCGTGGCATAGAAGAATAACAAAACAGCTGATCCAGATTCCATGGACTGAGATACCTTCAGTGACATAAACGTCAGCCTTTATCTGGCAAGGCACACGCTGGTAAAATGCGCTTACACTGTTGGTATTTATAATAATATATCAGCAGTAGTCACTGGAAAATTCTGACGGCATATTTGGCAGGGGATAATTGTTCGGCATTTTTAATGTCTGTTTAGCTCCCCTCCTGAAGCCTCACACAAAAGCCGTTTGGTCCGGCTTTAACACACCCGCTGCAGGCTTCACTGGCGTCATTCTAAGACCTTTATTTAACCAGGGGGGAAATCCCTGATCCTATTACCTGATTCTAGGCATTGTTAGTACAACGGATTAGTACTGCTTATCTGGCATAGACAGTCTGTAGTGCCTGTCTCTTTACAATTTATATTGAGCCTAGTGAAACTTATCAGATGTGTAAAACACAGCTGAGAACTTTTGCTGGCATATGAATGTACTGGTGAAACAAACTGGCATGCCTCCTGTATTGTAAGCATCTTGGTCTGTCTATCATCCAATGTCGGGGTGTGCTCCATGTGTCGCATGCAAGAATGAACGGATGCCTACAGTGTTTGGCTGCAGTCTTTCTTTGACAAGCAACTGAAGTCAGTTAGGGCCAGTGGTGAAGTTCCTTCTCACCATAGCACAAAACACAGAGCCTGGCCAGGTAGGTGAGGCAGCGACACAAAGAGAACATGTGTGTGTGTGTGTGTGTGTGTGTGTTTGGAGTTTTTTTTTTTGGGGGGGGGGGGGGGGGGTTGCATCTTACCATTTTTTTCTGGGTTGGTGAAATGGCATGAAGCCTGTTTACGTGAGTTGGAAAAATAAGAAATATACAAACAAAAACATAGTATGTAACTTTATTATATGGGTGGGGGATTGTTAGAGGGGCCTCGCCGATTTGGAGGGGGGGAGGGGGTCAAGCGACCTAAGAATCAGATGCCCCTTGTGTGATGTTTTGTAGAGACCATGTGTTGGCCATGCAGCTAAAGTTATCATTTTTCCCTTGGAGTTTTCTGCACAACCATACGAGAGTGAAATGCGCTCTTTAAAATGTATGAACATTTGCACCTTTTATTTTTAACTGGATGTTATCGGGAACAATAATTCAAAGGTATAGAACAAGAAGCTTTGTAATAAGCTGTGTAAAAACAAATATCAGGAAAATAAGATCTGATTCTGGGACTGTCCCCTAAAATCAGGGTCATATAATACCACAATTAAAAAAAAAAGTTAAGGCACATTCTTGGCCTTATCTCAGTCTAGTCAACTTAGGTATTGACCCAGGCTAGGATTTATTCAATGGTCACAAGGGATATTAAACACCTTTTATACAGGGAAACAAAATTGACATCAAGGGAGCAAGAATTAATTAATCAGTCACCGGAAAATTGCCCTCGGGATTTTAGCATACACGTACTTCTTCTTTTTCTTTGCGTTTACCGGCTGTAAACTCCGGCGGAAAGTTCTGTTCGTCCACCACTGGACTCTAGTCTTTTTCCAGAAACTGAGTGTTGCGTGCACATCTGTTTGATAGATCTAGCTTATATGAATGCAGATTGTTGTTTCCTTTGCCTCTCGGATAGATACACTCCGACTTCGAAAGAAGCTTCCCATTAGTCGACTCTTTCACCATGCTTGATGGGAAAGGCAGTGGGTCTGTTCTGTTTCTCCCACAGTGAAACTCCGACCCACAGGGGAATACATGCATTTTATAGCTCTTTTATCTTCCCCGAAGCTTTACACGTTGACCATTTGGTACGGCTTATGCGTCCTACGTGTACAGTGGCTTCCACTGCTTGATAAGACTCCGATCAGAACCTATCGTGGATTTTAAGTTTGGGATATTCCGGTGTGTGTTACCACCCAGAGATCAGAAGAAATTACTAGAAGTCCACGTAAAAAAAATCCTAGCCTTCACTGGGGTTTGAACCTGGGACCTCCAGCACTCGAGCTGGATGCCTTACCTTGAGACTCTCACACCCCCCACCCACCCAAAATTTAACGAGCGCTTTTTAAAGGCTTAATCGACCTGGAAGCCAAGGTCGGGACTTGAACGCACGCCCTTCGAAATAGTAGGCCTGCGACTAGCCGCTACAGCACTGCCCCTTGTCAAGACAGGGTATTAACCTCCAGACCCGTGTAGTTGTTTTTCAGGAAATGCGGTTAATTTAAGAACAATCTCAATAAGATATATGCCAGGAAGGTTCAACTAAGTTTGCTAAAGATCCAGATGTTGGCGTCGCCACCGTCCAGTGACCTGAGTCCAGTGTAAAAAATATCATTAATACAGTACAACTGGCAATGATCCCTCGGCCAGTTGCTACAAACAGTTGAAAGTTAAACCGGCTTAATCGATCCGGAAATCTAATTTTAACATGCACCCTAAAGCTTATAGACATATTAGCTTTGGCTATATCCAACCGTTGGTTGTTAGTTACAGGTCACTGATTTTTTTAAAATTTCTACACTCGTGTGTTTGAAAATTGGAACGTCTCGTGTCGTCATTTCTGCTACACGCGAGGGGTGACAGAGAAGGATGGATCTGAAGCTGATGGGGGCAGGGAAGGGGTTGGCGATCTACTACCCTAGAGTTTAGACACTTTACACGGTCGGGTAGGAGAAGATTCATGGTAGCAGACGTTGCGTAGAGGCGGAAATCGGACGAGAGAGAGAGAGAGAGAGAGAGAGAGAGAGAGAGAGAGGGGGGGGGGGGAGGGAGAGAGAGGGGGGGGGGATAGTACAACGCGGATTCAAGATAACAACACACCAGGTAACCACAGAGGTTTCTCTGGGATAGAGATTAGGACATTTATTTTTACAAGGTTAAACTTCTGAATAGGACACTAACGGATTACACACACATCCTCGTGCAGGTTCCAGGGCTTTATCTGGGGATGGGGTGGAGTTGGGGGGGGGGGGATAGACCCACTGCCCATTAACATGCATGTCGTACAAGGCGACTAATTAGGAGAGTTTTTCTTCGAAATCGGAAAGCATCTGCCTGAGAGGCGAGAAACCAATCGTCTGCAAACAAATAAATCAGAATTGTAAAAGGGATGTGCACGTAAAACTCAAGTTATAGAACAAGATTAAAGACCAGAAATGAGCGAAAGACCAAAACTTTTTGCCGGGGTTTACATCCGGTGAGCCCTAAGAAGAAGAAGACACACATATATCACACACACACACTTATGAATTGATATATTGCAAGAAATAAAGTTAAAAAAAAAATAACACACACTGAAAAAGGCGATCAATTATTGATGTTGTTGGGGAGGGGAGGGGGCCTGGTGTTTAATTTTAATAGGTAATTTTACAGTCAGTAGTTTGACATTCAACGGTTTGTAAATTTAGTTGCGTATCCTATACAGAACGTTGCAGAACCAAGACCAGCATTTTTTGGCTGTAGTGTTTTGTTTTTAGGTAAATTAACGTCCAATAGTTTGTCGTTGCCCCTGGACGGTCGGCTATCGGTACCACTGTCGAAACCAATGCAAGACAAACCGTCCGCGGCTGGGATCAAACCCAACACCCCGGCATTACGAAGCGCGTTCGCTGCGCCTATTCCACAGACAACAGACATTACTCTTCTTTAAAAAAAAAAAAAACATTCCAGGAAAGATTTAAAGGCAAGCGAGCAAGAGGCAAACAGAAATACAAGTGGAATAATAACACCAGGAGGTTGAAGAACAGTATTTGGAGAGAGTGTGTGCATCCAGGGCGAATGGCAGCATGTTGACGATCTATTGCCGCCAACCTTCATTGTGGAGGCGGCACATGGTTGACTGTCAACACAAGCTAACCCAATACCCAGAGGGTGTCTATGTGTCAAAGAACCCTGGTCTCTACAATCTAAATAATGCTCAGAATCCAGATCAGGATTATCGGATGAAGAAAACCTCCACAGAATATCATCCATCCCAACGGCATTGTGGTTTGACGACTGACGCAGTTCCCTATGTGCGACTCCTTCGTACTGTGTGTGGTGTCCACCGAATATCCACCGAATAGAGACCTTGTGAAAGCCCAATAAGAGGTCTATTATATCCCGCTAGCGTTCAGTCAAGTACATTCTCGAGGTTCACCATCCTCCAGTGGCGGTATTTCCCTTATATGGTAACACAAGAGATCACATGGGAGGGTGTCAACGATAAGGACAGCAGCCAGGTACCGGCCTGTCTGTCACGTGACTCCCCAACGGGCTTGTCGTTGTCGCATACAATACAGGCGGTCAGGCACACACTGACTCATTACCGCACATTCCTCCGATATATAGTGACACACACACACCATATTGATTTACTACTGTTTCTGGTTAGATCATTGTTCCAAGCTGAAGAAGATTACACTGGGATACAATTTGACGTGTAGATTTGGAGTTCGTTCTTGTGTGTGCTTCGGACGTGGTCTCTCTACAACCCGGTTAAAGAAGCCGGTCTGGTTATTTTATAGTTCATAGTCAGTGGAAGGAGTCAAGAAAATGGCAAATTCTTTGCAAAACGCAACATCTGGTGTTATGGGCACCCTCAAACAGAAAATGGGCACGCTAAAAACAGAGAACGACAATCTTAGAGACACAATTGATAAAATAACCAGAGAAAATTTAGAAAAGGAACAACGGATCTGTCAGGTAGGTTATTCATATTGATTATTGAATTAAATATTCTAGCTCAGTTACATTCTTACTATTCTAGAGGTGTTTTGTTAATAAAAGCGTCGTGATTACATTTCAAACAGTCATGATATAGAAGCTGATTTGTACTCAGATTAAAAGGATGCACATTTTTTGTATATATCTGTCACCCTACACGTTTCATAGCGGTTGTACTATAGAACTACACTGTCAAATCGTGCCGATGCCAAAATTTCGTTGTTACTGTGTTAATTTACCAGAAGTGATAATTATAGTGTCTTACATTGTTAAGTTAATGATGTGAAGTTTACGGCACCAGTTTTGCTTCAGCCAGTGGCACTACAGTTTCATGATTGAGGTCCTACTCAAAGTGTCACAATGAAAGCGTCCCTGCCCACTTGGAAAACTTGCCCGCACAGGTTTCAAGACATCACTGTCGGCTATTCTAGACTGAGATTTATAAGAAAATAAAAATCTACCCTCTTTCAAGAGACACGGAAGCAACAGTGAGAGTTGGCCACCTCCATCTTTAAATTGTAAAGTCTTGGTGTGGTTAACATTGCTGTCTTTAGCATCACACAGACTACCACAGTGCTCTCCACAACCTCAGTGTTTTATTGCCTCTTTTTCTGTTCAGAATACAGACGAAGATTCTGCTGTGACTTCTTCATTTTGTATCATTTTAAAACATCCCAGAGGTTACCATAAATATATCATCTTAACTCTTTCCCAAGAAATGCTTCATACACTCACATGTTCCTATCCTGAAGCCAGATGAACTGAAGATGTGCCAGTTTTTATGTCTCTCTTAACTACCTCTTGGGCCTCTGATACTAAACTATGCATGGTTGTAAAAATGTATGTGAACTATGGTGCCATTCCAATAGTTTGAGATGAATGGTGTCTATTCGATAGCTGTGGATTTCCAGTTGTATGACGACATGGCCAATGACTACCTTTAACTCTTTCAGTCCCAGGGAGTTTAGCATCAGAAGCCCAAAAGGTAGTTAAGAGAGACATAAAAACTTGACCAGAGAACACAACTGTCTTTCATTGATCACTTCACTGACAAGTATTTGGTTGTCTGTACTTTGATCACTGAACTTGTCGACTAATTCTTCCGGAAGTGTTTTTTTTTTCCTGTTAGAAAGTTATTATTAAACAGTTCTCTGTCTGACATCGATGTTCAGATTAGTTCATATATTTATGCCTTTGCATTATCCTTATCATGGTGGCTAGCAGCCTGGTTTACAAGACAAGACATGGCTATCCTCCAAATAATGGTCCCAAATTGAGGCCAAAAATATACCCTGACAGGGCCTCAGTCACATGTCAATTGTGGACTTCCGGCGACTTAAATTGCGACTTCGCCACCGCCGAGAGTATCTCCCACACCACTATACGCGGCATGGATTGGGGCTAAACTAGATGGCTGGGACTCAGGAGCAGCAGCTATCGCATCTCCTGCAGCTTCCTTAATTTTATTTGCTTGTGAGTTCCAGCCATCTAGTTTAGCCCCAATCCACGCCTCGCATAGCGGCATGGGAGATACTCTCGGAGGTGGTGGCATAGTCCCCAGAAGTCCGCAGTTGACATGTGACTGGGGCCCTGTTAGGGTATATTTTGGGATCGTTTTTTGGAGGATAGCCCAAGACACAAATCTGTTGTTATTCTGCGTACTTATGTTCGTGACACATCACCTGATATAACACACAGAAAAACAAGCCAAGAAATATGGAAATGACATAAGTAGACATAAGTAAAGATGAGAAAATATGGGTGTCCTAGGGGGCATACTTTGGTAAACACAGCAGATGGTGTTTTGTTATATCTATCACCTGGCCATATTCTAGGCATTTAGTTTGTTGATTATTAATATCTGACTTTCTAGCACTTAGAGCAAACTCACTGGTTCTGTGCCTTCAGTAGACATGATGAGAATACTAACTGTTTCAGTACTATACTGATTAACACTGTGGACACATCCATAGATGCTCTGTTCTGCTCAATAGCTCCACAAATATAAAATGCTGCTGACCATTCTGGGTTAAGAGATCAAAAATCGTGTGCCTTTGTGAAACGTTTATGTCTGGCAGCTCCAGGTTTTCCTATATTCACCACCTTCACATGGTTATGCTCATGTCTGGCAGCTCCATATCGTACCCCATATTCACCAACCTGGACAAGGATAGTCTTACTACATGGTTGAGTCATTCTTTGCGCTGAGATTGTGTCATTCTGTTTTCTGTGTTCCTTTCTAATGCCCCCCCCCCCCCCCCACCCCACCCCTAAGGCCCAAACTGTGTCTTTTAATTAATCTGTTTCTTCCCAGGTTGGTTCTAGCCTGAAACTTGAAAAAAAAAGGACTTGCACCAGTTTGAGTAAGGTTTGTTTAGAGGCTTTTCTCCTGACTTGGTACCAAGGTACCTTCTTGCTAGTGACCGTGTTGCAGAGCTCTCCTTCCCCTTATCAAGCTCAGAAACTAGCGGGTTGTATCACCTTCTGTTTTCAGGATACTTCCTGGTATCTATTTGATGTTGGGCCAACCTGTAAGCCCTAATTTGGCTGTCTCCTCCATGGATGTTAGGTATTATCCACATACTCTGACCCTACCCAGCGGGGATAATAGGGTGGTGGTAATGAGAATAAAAGCACAAATTTTTACAGTTCTGGTTATATTGAGATGTTCAGTGGTTTCGTTAGATGGGGGGAAAATACTGAACAATACAAGTTTAAGATCACGTATATTCCTGTGCTGGTTTTTGTGGACAGCTCAACTATATTTGTGGCTGTGTGCTCCTGGTACAGTCCTGAAGGGAAATGATAGTAGTGGATTAATTAAGCACACTTGAAGCACACTTTATTGTGGGCTGGTTTCAACATGGCCTCTGAGCTGTTTGAACAGTTGTTTTTCTCTACTGTAACTTGGCGGAGGTCTTAAGTGGAGTTGTTTGCTACTTATGTAGAAGTGGTTTACTAATTATGCTCCTGGTGTATGGTATTTATGTGTGTGTACACCTGGCACACAGTGTGTGGTATGTTGTGCATGAAGCAGACATATGAATGTGGCCTGTTGAAAGTAGTCCCTCACTAGACATCTACAGCCTAGAGCTGTGTTGTATAGCGAATATAGGTCACCAGTTGGGTGTCCTTTGAGGGGGGGGGGGGGAAACTGGTCTAGTTGGTTATATTGGATATGGTGGAGAGGGAGTGAGAAGGAGAGAGGAAGTTAGAGCTGGGAATAATAAAAATGAAATGAACTGCATGAGTAGAATGCATCAAGATTAGCCTATGATAACTTTAACATTCATGTAGTACACCTGGTAACTTTTCTATTCTACTCTATTCTGCATGGGGACTTTGTTCAGCAGGCTCAAGTTCTAGTAGCTATTTTTAGTAGGGATTTACTGCATAGCCTAAAGTTGTAGCAACCTTATTATATTCTTAATATGGATTTGTTTTTGTAGCCATTTTTATTCACATGGTTTTGGTGATTACAGGGACTTCTTGCTGCTCCTTATGTGGGTTCTGAAGCCCCATTGTGGGGGGAAACATGTGTGGGTTCTGGGACCCCATTGTGGAGGAAAATGTGTGTGGGTTCTAGAGCCCTATTGTCGGGGGGGGGGAGGGGGGGGGGGACAAGAACAAACCCACTGCCCCCAAACAAGCATGTAGTAACAGTCTTCTGATTAGGGGCGTCTCCTTCCAAGTTGGAGTGCATCTGCCTGAGAGATAAGGAACCAACAGTTTGCATTCACATAAGCCAGATCTGTAAAACAGATATGCATGCACAACTCAGATTCTGGAACAAGACTAAAGTCCAGAAGTGGCTGAACAACCAGAGTTTACAGCCAATGAACGTGAAAAAATAAAAGAAGTTCCTGTGGTTGAGTTGTTTAGTCTTGTTCTCCACTGTGTTGATATTTTGTTTTAAAATGAGAGTAACACTTTGTGGGGTGCGTGTGTTTAGGGTTAAGGTACTGGTGGAAGTACACTTCTGAAGATTGAAGTACTGAATCCACTCTTGATATCTGTCTAGAGAACTCTTTGTCTTCTGCTCCTGTAGCTGTTGTATGGGCCAGATATAAAGACTGTCCTATAAGTTATGTTTTAAAAAATTGACGTTACTGCACATTGGGCATTCCCACTGGTGCTCAGTCCCACAAGTGTAGATATATAGTAAAACAAACCTACTAACACCAGTAAAAGCATAATGACAGCTGTGCTTGTAAGTTTTCTTCAGAAGTCGAGGACACACATTGAAATGTTTTTAAAACAATAATAGTCATGTAGAGCATATTAATACATAACATGTGATTAAGACATGACTTTTCCTATGTTTGTGAAAATTATGTGACACCCTTTATATCACAGAGCATTCAAATTCACTGTTTGTATGCAACGCTGAATTTTGACTTGTGCAGCGAGTGACACTTTTATGTCTCACAAGGCGTACTAGGCATATAACGCTAGTGCTGGTATGTTGAAACCGCCCTGCTCTCCGTGGGCTATTGTTGAATATTATGCCAGCTACCTTTATTCCCAGAAAATTTTGTTATGCACATTTGTAGGTGTGGTCAGTTCGAGATCCCAGGCTATTGACACATTTGTAAATAATTTGTCACATTTTGACATAACCTGGTCTTGACTGACAACTCTTCTGGTTCCCTGAAACACTTGTCTCTCCGTGACATGTCTTCTCTAGATCTTCATGTTTGTTTTCTGGCTCAAAATGCCTAACTGTTTTTCTTATAATTTATTTGTTTTAAGAATCGGTCTTCGCCTGTATTGAGTTGTTGTTTGTTCTTTTGTCCTTCTGATTGTAATAATCCGAATCCTTCTTGTAATCCTCACTGAAACATATCTTCAGCCAGCTGACGTCAGACAATCCTTTCTTTATCTGTCCCTGTCTTGTGTCTTTCCCATATTGTCCATAATTTTCTTATTTATGTCACTTTAGGTCTTCCTCTATTTTTCACCTGCTTCTTACTTAGTCGATCTTCTACTCTGGACTAGAGGTTTGCCAGAGAGATTTCCGGGCTGATGTATGACCAGTTTTCTTTTTGGCATTGTTCCAATCCAGTCCTCTAATAGTCAGAGACCCAGTGAACCCTGGGTCATCCTGAGGGGTCTGGTTTCCTGGTTCTTGGCCTGCCCATGTGGCCATTTCTTTCCAATTTGGCATACATGTTGAAACCATCATAATTGTAACCAATCCACTGAAGTTTGTAAGGTCTGGATTTCAAGATCATTTTTTCTCTAAGTGGGTTCCGGAGCCACATTGTGGGAGAAACACAAATTGACCTACTGCCTTCCCAACAAGCATGTTCTAAGAGTAATGACTAATTGGAGGCTGCCTTCAGAGTGCATCTGCCTAAAAGGCAAGGAACCAGTAATCTGCTTACACATAAGTTACATTTTAAAATGGATGTACACTGAAGTTCTTGAACAAGATTTAAGTTCAGAGATGGATGAACAGTCGTAACTTTTTTGCGGAGTTTACAGATTGTGAATGCGAAGAAGGAGAAGAAGATCATGGTTGAAGCTGGCTTATGTGAGCTATTGTCATTGGCCATGACTCACACCCGTAGGTGAGCACTGGTACATAGGTAGAGCAGTTTACAGCCATCAGTTTTTTTGTTGAGAAAAGACTGCCAATTGACTTCTTATTTTAATATTGTAGGCTTTTCTCTGTTTGTATTATCTGACACCATATTGTTCTCATCCTGTGATCCTTTAGACAACATGGACTGACAACTGGACTGCCAGCTAAACAGACTCAGATAACAATGAAATTATTCTCCATTTGATCCCAGCTAACTGCAGCATACCAAGAAATATGTTGAAGTACAGGCTTGCAAAGAATGGAACAAAACAGAAACAACACACCCATTCACTGTCATTACCAGAAATAAGTCTTTTATCAAGGTAAAATACACAGCACTGTGGAGAGAACAAACTAACAGTAAACATCAACAATAACCCATCAGCAAAGTCAACAGAAAGCAACATACAGCAATTTTCCATCTAAGAACAGGATACTGCAGGCTCAACTACCCCATGCATAAAATAAAGACTGTACAGTCCCCACAATGTGCATGTAAGACAGGACCACAAACACCTGTGAGCATTCTGCAGGCCTGCCCGATATACTTACAACTACTAAGAGAAACCTGGCTTCAAGCGCAGTGTGCAGAGCAAGCTGTGAGGAACCATAAAGGACCTGCAGCTGATATGAGAATTCATGTTAAACTTTGTTTGCTTCTTGTGCTAAGCTCCACACTAATGATTCTGTCATACTAGTTCAGTCCTTCACCTTTGTGCAAGCACCAGCTGTTAAATGATTAAAAAAAAATTGTTATTTTATTTCCATCCACAGCTGGAACTGGAAGTTACTGGACTACAGAGGCGTATTCAGCTTGTGGAGGAGGATTTGGAGCGGTCAGAGACTCGTCTTCAGAGTGCCACTGAGAAGTTAGACCAGGCTACAAAAGCTGCCGATGAGAGTGAAAGGTAGCGGTGTCTTGTTTAAATTGTCCACACATGTTTTCTAGTCAGCGTTATAACTAAGTCAAAGTATGTGTTTTCAAAGACATACATTCTCAGAATACCATGGACAAAAGGGAAAAAATGGAATTAATGACATCCTGAAAGATCTGAACATCAAAGAAGATATGTTAGTTTACAGCATCCTGTTTTGAAAACCGAAACATTTTGGCCATATCAAGCTCCACGACTAGTTACAAGAATAATAGCAGAAGGCATGGTACCAGAAAAAAGAGGCTGGGGCCAACCAGCACGAAGATGGGCACAGGGTATGAGTGGCTCATTGAGTGAGAGAGCTGGTGAGAGATTGATGTTCTTTCAGGTAGTCTGTGGTGAGAGAGACATTCTGCAAATGACCTGCCACATGGTTGTTTGATGGCAACTGTAACCATAACTTGTCTGTTCATTTACTTTGTTTGGTGGCAAATGTAACCATAACTTGTCTTTTCACTTTGTTGGGTGGTAAATGTAACCCTAGCTTGTCTCTTTACTTTGTTTGGTGGCAAATGTAATCATAATTAGTCTCTTCACTTTGTTAAGTGGCAGTGTAAGCATAACTTGTCTTCGTTGTGTGGTAAATGTAACCATTACTTGTCTGCAATTTTTTTAATTGAGTATTGAATTCACCTCATCCTCCACGCCTAATTTCTTCCTATGGAACTGCGACCTAAATTCTCACACTCATTGACTCAAAGAGCCACTTTCTGGATACCAGGCCAACTTTATCAAACATGTATATCTGCGTGGGTGGGATTATGCACAAATGTGTGTGTAAAAATATTATGTTTAAAAAAAATATTGGGAACTTTTTTCTATACTAAGAATTTTTGTCAGTAATGTGTTAATTTGTGTCAGTGTTTAAAGTAGCATAGATAAAGTTGAATTATGTTGAGCTTTTGGTCACTGAATCTCTAGCTGTTGAACTATTTGCAGAATGTTAGGTAATGTTGAATGTAAAGTCAACAGTTCAAGGTTTCTGATCTCTGTTCAGTGCTAGATTTTGTTTGTCAGATCCCATTCCAGCACACACAGGCAGTGTGTCAACACCAGCTGATAACAAGCTGTGACAGCTATCTATGACATGGCTGGAAATTCCATATTCCCCTGTCTGAAAGCAAATTTGTGGTATATTCAGCTTCCAACAGGAAATATGTTTTAACATTTTTAAGCCATGAGTATTCACATATAAAATGAAACAATAAGGTGGTAATATCATGGGGGGCGGAAAGGGGAGGGGGGGAGGACACACACATATATATATGCCTTACAAGGTCATAGGCCAGGTGAATAAGTAATCAAAGATGATGAAATCACAAGCCACCTAATTAGGGATATGTAATGGACAGCAACAGTTAATACAAATTATATGACTATGAAAGCAATAATTTACAAGTAAATGTAGCACTCATATCTGACGAGAGATTGGTTATAACCTGTGTTAAGATCACAGGACGTGTTTTATTTAAGAACTTTAACACAGCTCTTGAACACGAAACAAATTGGCTCAACATAAGAGTGGGAAAGAGCGAGTGCGATATTCACCATACAGTAATAATAGACAGTAGTTTTCTTTTGTGTTGGTTTTCCTCTTATACTTTTTAATCTCAGATTGGGAGTGTCTTATCAGTATCAGTTCCGGATTATGCCTTTCATTGTCAGGTTGGGACAGAGCTCATTAGAACCAACTAAATTTGGGCCAAGATATTATACTACCAGTTCATTTTGACCGATTATAGTAAAGAATCGGCCCACTGATGCAAGACTGAACTTCTCTCTATTGATGCCTTTCCTTGTTACCTTGTCCAGTCTTCTTCTTTTGTTCACCTGAAATAAGTTGTCTCTATCGGCAATTTTGTCCCTCGTATAAATTTCCCTGTCGTTTTTAGTTCATTTAGTGGGCCATAGAGTTTACATTCCACTGTTTTTTCTTTCTCGCAAAAAGGTTTGCCTTAATGTGTCAAATTTGGTGCATTCCTGGAGTACATGTGCTGTCTGGGGCACTTTTCCACATGTGCACATGGCTTTAATGTTGTGTACATGAGGTTACATAATCGGGTGTGCCCTGTTCTGAGGTGAAGGATAAGGACTTCTTCTGATCTGTCCATAATAGAATAGTCATCTTATGCAGGCACTGGTGGTTTCCTGATCGATTTAATGGTCCTTTATTTTGATGGTATGTAACTGGTACGTCCAGCTGCTCTTTCATCGCACCTTCCCCTGCCAGTTAATCAGCTTTCTCATTTTAAGACACACTGCAGTGGGACAGTATCCACTGCATTACGACTCTTGCGCTGACAGCTGAGTTGTGTCAGCAATTGTGTTTGCAATTCAAATACTTTCCCAGACTGGAGTGCTTCAAAAACGCATTATGCATCTGTCACCTTGTCTAGTTTTACAAGTCCCAGTTTTTCTTTTCTGCTGATGAGGCCACTGTATGTAAAAACAAGGTTTGCTATATGTTAATTCATCTGTTGTAAAAAGGGAATCACTTAAGATGTTTGTGTGTTCAATATTTATAAAGTTTAAATGTTTGATATTTGTGAAATTTGACATGTTTACATGCTTGTTCTGTACTTGTGATATCTAAATATGCACAGTTTTGCAACTTTTTTGCATGCTTCAACTTGTTTAGGGCCCTGCGGATGTATGAAAACAGATTTTCATCTGAGAATGAGAAAACAGATAATTTAGAGGCCAGTTTTAGACAGGCAAGACAGGAAGCTGATGCCGCCGTAGCTCAGTGCGAGGAGGTAGGTCAGATTTTCCGTACCTGCCTATTTATATCATGAAAAATATACTTGGCCTCAGTAACAAAAATATGCCAGTAATTTCAGTTTTCACGTGCCAAACCTGAAAATACTTCAAAATAAAGATTAGGAATTTTGGGAGGAATTAAGAAGAAAAGTCACAATGCGTACATGACAGTGAAACAATTTGGTTTAGACTATATTTAGCAGTTTCAGCAGCTGACAATGCTGTCTGTGTAATGTACAAGTTGTACTAGTTGCCGTGAAATTATATTTTCTGTAGCCATTTTTGCTTCAGATTTTGTTCTGTGACAAGTAACCATAGTCCTATAACAAACATTTAAAACAGTGCTGCAACATGTTTACTAGTTTACTGATTTGATGGATGCGTCCACTTTCTTATTTTCTCCAACAAAAGTTGATAACTGAGGCCGGGTATAAGGACCATGTGAGACACTAAAATATTTCTTTTATTACAGCCGACATGTCACTTCAGAGAGCCACCGACACTTCTGCACGTTGTAGCTAAATACATAATGGAGCGTGTAAATATTTCGGAATCATTTAGGTATAAATGTTTTTCCACTTGATGTGTACATTTTTAGAGGTCGCAAAGTTCTTGAGAGCCGAGCATTAACTGATGACCAGAGGTTGGATATACTTGAGGCCCAAGTGAAAGAAGCCAAATACATCGCTGAAGATTCTGAGCGAAAATACGAAGAGGTGACTGGCTTGCCAAGTTTGTCAGTGGCTGGTTTTCAGCATGTTACCTTGGCAGTTAACAAACATGACTCACTTTTCTTTGGCTTATGTCGTGTATGGTTATAGCTCCACAGTAACAAGTATTGAATGCTTTTCTACAGTTCTGTTTCGATGATCACCACATGCTGCAACCTTATTTGTGTGTGTGTTGTTTTTTTTGGAAATATTGTCTACATTGTTTATTCTAACCACTTTCGTTACAACTTATTATTATTAAACACTGGTCTCGGTGCTCACTGCTGTACTGAAAGCACATTTTCTTCTGATCATTTATACTAGGAAAACATTAAACAAGAAAATAATACCCATGTCATCAAACTATTTAACACAAAAAAACAAGAAGACAGAAATGAAGTGTGACAGATTTAAAGTAACTTGGCTCCAGAATTAATGTTGGAGATTGTTCCCAAGTTGTGAGAAGGAGACTAGTCATAGCGGTGCAGACATTAATCATCACCGGTAAGAGCTGATGCCACAACTCCAGCAACAGATTCAAATAAAAAATTGAGAACAAACAGTCTTTTGGCAGCGTATAATGTGAATCATGGATTAATTCACAGTCAGTAAGAAAGAAAATCAGAGATGTCAAAAAATTATTACAATAAAGTGGATTGAGAAGAAGAAAAAATATTGACATTCTACAAGATCTGATCATTACATATTGGAAACTGATATACTTTAGCCATAGCAGTTGTTAAAAAATATCGGTACTGAAAGACATGGCATCTGAAAAACAGGCAGGTATCAACCACTGCAAACATGGAAGTAGCAAACACTTAAGGCATGAGAGTACATGAGCCAGGGGTATTCGCAAGCTACTGAGAGATTTTTCCGGACAGGCTGTGATGGAGCAGTGTTTCTCAAGGAACATGATGATGGTAATTATCTACATGACAACAGTCAACCATATTTAATGCCCATTTGTAGATGGCCATAGCTAGAGTTACAGGTACATGAATCTGTGTTAGGTAATCAGTAGACTCAAAAGACATCAAAACTCTAAGATCTGTGATATCTTCCTTACCCAGTTTCACTTTCTTCAGTCTGTGCTTTCGGAGCTAGAGTATCAACTCTTGTGTTCCCATTTGGTAGCATCAAATATACCTTCAAACTCTTGAGTTCCCATTCGGTAGCATCAAATATACCTTCAAACTCTTCAGTTCCCATTTTGTAACATAAAGTACACATTTAAGCTCTTGTGTTCTTATTTTTTTTTTCAATTCTCCGCAATAATTTCCAAAACTTGTCAGATTAGTGGCTGTTATTAACAGCATGATTCAGTTAATCAATCTTTGGCTTTTTTGTTTTTTGAGTGCTGTATTTCTCGAGCAGTAAAAAAATGAGTGATCTGAGTGTTGAAAAATGAACAAAACTAAAACTCTACTAAATGCTGTTTATGTTTGTATATAATATTAATGAAAGTTTTTGAAGGCTAATAATGTTTGTGTAAAAATTAGTGAACTAATCATGTTTGTATGTTCTTGTGTTATCCTGAATGCCAGCTCAACTTCAGGTCCACCTGTCTGATAACTCAGCTTGCCAGCCGCAATTTGGATTGATGATTGTGACGCACAAAACGCTGCATTGCATGATTGTTGCATGAAAGTTTTAGTGAGAGACTTAATATTAGTCAATTTAGCCATTGTGTGTGACATCTAAAACATAATCTGAAATAGAATAGGCATGAAATCTGGATTAACAGTTATTTCTGCATGGTTTTCAGTGACATAAAAATAGATAGGTATCAATTGCCTTTACATAGTTTAAAGACCAAGGCGTATGTTTTAGCAGATAAAAAGCCACATAATATTTCCCAGAATTCTCTATATCCATTGACTTTACTATTAATTTATTTGAACAAAGAAGACACAAACAATAGATTGCACAATTTATTGCCTGGCATATTTCTCTGTATCTCGTCAGGTGCATACTACAGTAACCAAAATGAAGCAAATAAGTGAATCCTTTATAACTGAAGTACAATTTGAACAACGAAAAAACATGACTGCCTGTTTTTACCGGGGCAGCAGTAAAGACAGAACTATCTCTTTCTGTATACAGAGTTCCGGGCACAGGTGACGAATCGCAGAAGCTTCAGGAAATCTTAGCATTCTGCCATTGGTTGACGTATGAAGGATTTGAAATACGTTGTCTCTAGTTGCCACATGTCACGATTTTAGAATATGGCGTGCTATTGCAGAGGAGTGATCTTTGCGGCAGTATTCTCATTTTGAATAATATTTTGCATGGCTTTTCCCACCCATACTGAGCACATTTCCAGAAAACGCTAAAAGGAAGAAAAGGAGGTGGCGCACATAGGACTGTTGCCCTGGCTTCTCGATGGTCAACATTTACCGTACAATAAACCTGGACATACACTTCAATGGTCCCGTATAATTTATTTATCTTGAAGGGTTGCTCACGTGTGCCAGATTTCCTGATAAATGTTTTATTAAGAATTGACATCACAACACTCCCATAAGCGCTCCATCCCTATCTTCAGCAACAAGTGCAGAGTTCAAATTCAAGAGCACTTTGTATATCCGTCTCACCTTTTCCTTGAGTGCTGATCCTTGACTGGATTCCCTGGTCACTCCTGCCATTCTAAACAGACTGTGATGATCCATTTGTGATTCTGTACTGTTGATTCATTGATTCCATACTGTTGATTGACCCTAAAAGGGCCCTTACAACATCTAACTTGGCATGTATCAGTTCACCACCAAGTTGTGCAGAACCAGCCAGTCTCTCTGTCTGTTCATTTCCTAATACACCAGCATTTCCTAATACACCAGCATTTCCTAATACACCAGCATTTCCTAATACACCAGCATTTCCTAATACACCAGCATTTCCTAATACACCAGCATTTCCTAATACACCAGCATTTCCTAATACACCAGCATTTCCTAATACACCAGCATTTCCTAATACACCAGCATTTCCTAATACACCAGCATTTCCTAATACACCAGCATTTCCTAATACACCAGCATTTCCTAATACACCAGCATTTCCTAATACACCAGCATTTCCTAATACACCAGCATTTCCTAATACACCAGCATTTCCTAATACACCAGCATTTCCTAATACACCAGCATTTCCTAATACACCAGCATTTCCTAATACACCAGCATTTCCTAATACACCAGCATTTCCTAAGGAAAATATCCAAAGGACGCTAACTACCTGTGACCTCTGAAGTGATGTTTGCCACTCTTCAGTGAGCATACCGGTCTCCACCTTTCCAGCATGCTCTGTGTGTCAGTTACAATTATGACGTGTGTACAGCAGATTCTCAAGCCAGCGAAAGGCTGCAGTGACTGCCTCCAGCTCCATTCTTAAACTAGATGTTGTGGTGTCATATGCTAGGCTTTGTTCCACTAAGTGACATCCATTCACTTTTGCTAAGAACATTCATGAGCATAGTCAGCCTCTCAGTAGAGCCATCCATATAGATTATCACATCACCTGGATGAGAATTGTCATGAATTATTTGTCCAACTTCTGATTCTGCAGTGCCATTCTGGCCAGTCCCTGCAGTCACAGACCAATGTGACTGACTTTTGCTGGGACATTCTGACCCACTCCTCTCCTCATCCAGTGTTATCAAGCTTACACACATAACTGATTGTTTCTTCAGCTTGCGCTATCCAAGACCTTCCTCTTTTCAGTCTGTAATTCCAGCTCTGTCCAGAGCTTCATGCCTGAGGTGTTTCTGATCTGTGGCTGCTCTGAGATATGACTTTGCTTGCAACACTTCTGTAATAGTCAGCAGTGCAGGAATCATACATACTACCGAGGTATCTCTTGTATATCCCAGATTTTCCCTTATGACTTCATTTTGTATGCGCTCTGATTTACTGATTTAGAATAATAGCGCACTGGGCATACCGATAGATGCTCCATCTCCTACAGCAAATGTCTTGAAGTATAGGTGCTGTTCCCATAGCACCATGATTACACACACATTGTTCTCTTCCTCTCATACGTCTGCCCTTGCCGGATCACACCTAATTCTTCATCCATGAGATATTGCAAGCTTCTGGGGTCCATGTACCCAGGCAGAGGGTTACTTTATGTGAATGCAGGACAGCTGCTATCCAGATCACCAGCCAGGGACACCCCTTCCCCGCCCCCCCCCCATCCTTAATAACGCAAATATAAAAGTATCATATCTGACTACTGTAGGCATCCTCAAGATCAAGAGTCCCCACCATGATCTCCTGTCTTGTCCTGAAGATATGGTATGAAAGAAAACTTAGTCATTGATAGATTCCTTTACCATAGATGGAGTTTCCTAAAGGAAGTAAACTTGCACAGTTGGATGCAGATGTCAGATAATCTGCCCCTTGATGTGCGGTTCATAATTAGGCATTATCCACTTCCATTAAAAGATCAGTGAGTCAAATCATTTTAAATAAAGCACACAGCACAAGATTTGCCAGTTAAGTCATAATGTTAATAAAGTAGCATGTGTCATAAAAATAATCTTTTTTGTGTGTTTCATTTAAGAAAAAGAAAAAAAAAACAATGTATTTATATTTACAAAGTGGTGTTTAGTGTACTAATCAGCAGAATAATTTTGCACAAGTAATTTGATCAGTATAAAATTGTTCATAGAATAAATCAATAGTATTTGATTTTAACTTAAGCAATGTAATTTTTATTCAGTGAACCAATAGTATTTGATTTGTGAAATAAGCATTTTGTAGGAGTATACAAAACTAGTACAGAACTAAGGATAGTCCTCATGTATGCTCACTGTTATAGATAGTCCTCAGGTATGCTCACTGTTTTTCAAAGCACTGTTTTTATTCACATTTAAAATGCAAATAAATCAGTTCTTATTTTACCAATGTGTAAAATACAGCAAGAATAATTACAATTTTATACATTAAAAATATAAAGAAAATGTTTAATAAAGTAAGATTTATAAGTTGGGCTAAAAAGTAATAAACTTCTGATTTTAAATTGTGATATTTAGTACAGCAAGATTTAATTTAAAAAAAAAATCTGTGTAGATATTAAAATAGCTGTGAAAAAAACATTAGAGAATGTGAGATTTGAAATTGTGCTAAAGAAGTGAAGTGTGACAGTGTTTGGGCGTGTCATTATTGCAGGCTGCTCGCAAGCTGGCAATCACAGAGGTGGACCTGGAAAGAGCCGAGTCCCGTTTGGAAGCTGCTGAGACGTGAGTAACAGGAGCTGGGTCGCCATTAAAATTAATGGTGGCATTGATATGTGGGTACCAGATGAGCAGATACACATGACGATTAGGCATCAGATGGGCATTTGGTCTTTTATATATCCCTCACAAGTCGAATAAAGTTGTATTTTTTGGTCATTAAATGAACAGGTCAGCTTCTATCTAGTGCCCCAGAAAAAACATGAGATATAGATAAGTTCCCCCCCCCCCCCCCCCCCCCCCCCTCCCTTTTTTGTTGTTGTTGTTGTTGCAAAGACATAATCTACAAACCTGCTGTGACCTTGTAAAAATGACTTCATATTTTGATTTTTTCCTTGTTCATTGCACTGGCTCAGATTCACAGTAGTTAGTCCTTTTAATTCCATTTAACATGGATCTGTTTAATTAGCATCAGCCTGCCAGATAAACAGAAAGCTGGTGGTATATTTTCGGAGTGGCTCATGATCTTGCCCCTGTGCGATGGCGTGGCTAAACTACGAAAAAATATCAGAGAATGAAAAAGTTAACAATAGAATAATTTATAGCTTGCACAATTCTCAGATCTCTGTCAAAGGTCGGAAACTACCTCATGAATTTCTCACAACCTAGTGTATTTTTATTCACAAAAATTATATTTATTCTGGAGTTTTAATATTCATAAAGGTTCTTTTCGTAGTCTTTAAACTGAACAATATGTCATAGTTATTCTTCTCAGCGCTCATCGGCTGAAAACTTTTGTTTGTTCATCCACTTGTTTACATTAGTCTTGTTCCAGAACTTGAATTTAGGCATCTGTTTTACAGATCTGGCTTACTGACGTTTGATTTCCACTGCTCAGTTAGATGTGTTCCGACTTCGGAGGAAAAATCTTTTATTGCTTTTTACGATATGCTTATTATAGATACAGTGGGCCTGTTCATCTTTACCCAGTTTAGCTCCCACATGCGGAATAGTGATTCAGACAGCTGGTTTCATGATTATTCATTTGTTGTGTTCATTTGTGGTTTTTTGATAACCTGGTAGCAACGCCCACACCACTTCCCCCACGTTGGGGGCTTAACACCTGAGTCTAATGCAAAAACTAAGAGTTGGTTTATAGTATATGTTTATGTGTTTTGTCACATAATAGGCGTCATGCTAGTCTGCTCGCCTATGTTCACCCACATAACTATGGGCAAAATGATGCGCTATTTATTATCAGAAACACAAATTACGTAATTATATGCATATTGAATGCATTCTTTTTGCTTTTTACCCTCACTGGAACATAGACCTTAACCAATTCATATACATTTACATTACAAATAAATGAATGTGCATCATTTTTCTCGTATTAAATTGCTAGTGCTACGGTTTGCTGATACATTTTTGTCAGCACACCAGCATAGCATGTTATATTAAACATCTGCACATTTTATCCAGAAAGCAATAGTTTTCCTGCATTCAGATGATTTTTTTCTACATTTACAATGTTTTTCTGTATTCACAATTGTTTTTCCTGTATTCAGAGGCCGTTGACAGTGGGAGACAGCTGGCTATTAAGGCCAGTGTTTCTGTGAATCAGTTGTTTTCTGATATTTAACTTACCCTAGGTGACTCATTGCTGGGGCGTCACAAGCAGAAGTGAGGTCAAATCAATATTAGTGACATGCTGGGTGAATCAGACCAGATAAAATCTCTTGCTTTCGGATAAAATATGCATTTGCTTGAAAAAAAAGTGTTTGATTCATTATGATAAAAATGATTGCATTTTTGCATGTTTTCCCAACTTGTGATGTAGGTTACTCGTAAATTGGTCTGCGTAGAAGGTGACTTAGAAAAATCAGAGGAAAGAGCGGAAGCATATGAACGGTATGTTTGATCAATTATTTATATTTCATCTTAAATACACAAATGGGATGTTAATAGGATAGGAATATGACATGCATGTTTTGAATGAAATGGTATTATATTTGTTCCGCTCCTTTATAAGAGTTTTCTTTATATGAGATATGATTTATCAAGATGGTGGCAGTACACAGGCAGTCCTACAAAAACTTGGAGTCACTAACTGGAAAGAGAAGGCAAGTTGCAGAGATGAATAGAGGCAGGTGATCTCTGCAGCAGTAGCAAACCTGCACAGCCAAAATTCTGAAGAAAAAGAAAGTTTTATTATGTAATATTTCATGACTTTTAGAGTAAAAAGTGACCAGCACACTTGCTAGCCTGGGGGTCTTCTGTTTGTGTGCTAGCTCGGGGGTCTTCTGTTTGTGTGCTAGCCCGGGGGGAGGGGGGGGGTCTTCTGTTTGTGTGTTAGCCTGGGGGTCTTCTGTTTGTGTGCTAGCCCGGGGGTCTTCTGTTTGTGTGCTAGCCCAGGGGTCCACTGTTTGTGTAATTCATGGTTGCCTAACCTGTAATTTAACATCTAGCAGTTTCTGTTTCTTTTTTAACTAATAGTATGCATAAAGCTTTTGTGTTGTTTGTAAATTAACATCTGCATCTGACCTTGTGAAAAACGGAACAACAATACATAAATGAATTTATCAAGAAACTGTTACCTGACTTACTCAGATATGGCAGATTTTAGGAGGTTGGTTTACGGCGCTAGTTGCAGTATGTGAATACACAAAAACAAAAAGTTCTCCATGTCTCATTTTTTTTCTACCCTGGTGTCTTGATTTGGATCACAATAATCTAATCACATGCACAATGATTTAACAAAGGTCTTTAAGATTTCTGTTGTCCAAGTCTTTTTTTTTTTCTTCCTCCTTTTTCTTGCATATTACTTCTTTTAGCATAGGAGACTGATTTAGGTTACAGATTTACTGTTCTTAGCTTTTCTTACAGGTCTGAAATCACACTCTTAGATTTCTGTAAAAACAACAATCCTAGGCTAATTATGCAGCTGCAAAAAGGGAGACAGTCATTATGGTCTACCTTGTGAACTTTGAACTCTGACCCTTGCTGTGATATATGTGGATCATTTATTGGTTAATTATAAACCTTATAGTTTAAGCTAATATACACATCCTTATCAACTTTGTACCCTGGTGTCCTGCCAGTTAGGAGATTAAGTGACTAATGGTGGCTGTGCTTGGAACTGATAAAACAAAATACTAGTACAGTAAAACGCTGGATTAGTTAAGCTCTGATGCATGTTGGATTAATTAAGTCCTAACAAGTAAAATAAATATCAGAAAGCACATACACTTGTTTGGCTCTCTGTCGGTTAGAGCTTAGATACATTTAAAATTTCATGATCAAGTACTAGGGCTTGATTTAATGTTCTCATGAGTACTAGGGCTTGATTTAGTGTTCTCATGAGTACTAGGGCTTGATTTAGTGTTCTCATGAGTACTAGGGCTTGATTTAGTGTTCTCATGAGTACTAGGGCTTGATTTAGTGTTCTCATGAGTACTAGGGCTTGATTTAGTGTTATCGTGATTTTTGGTTTATAGAACAAGAGTGGCACTGAGACTGGGGCCTTACTCTGTCATAATCCCTGATACAACCATAGGTGTGCACTGTACGGCACAGAAATGTATGTTTTTACACATACAGCACATTGGTGCTAAAAGGGAGCGGCTGGCTGAAGTGTTAAAAACCCTGGGATGTGATGCAGGTTCGAATCCCTGGCAAGGTTGAGGATGTTTAATGTCAGGGACAAAAAAAAACCTCAACCCCATAATCCATGGCGACAGCACTAGCCATGCGGCCCAACATCCTCAAGCTCAGAGACTCCCACCAGCCGCCTACATCGCAGAAGTGAGTCCTACAAACAGTTATAAGCAGTTTTGGTGTTAAAAGTATAGTTGAAAACTATTCTCCTATGCTTGTTAGCGAGCAGAGAGAATTCTATTCCTATCTTTGTCTGTTGACAGTAACGATCAAGACTTGCACAATTATTTAGTTCAGCCATAACAGTTTTGTTCAGATGTTTGTCTCTTATCAGACCTCTGTAGCTACATATTTTTTTAATTGACTGTGCCTTGATTTTGCAATTTGGGGCGCAGTAGCTAACCCGCATGGTGTGTGAATTGCATGTTTTTGTGACTGTTGTTGAATTTTGCAGAAAAGTGAGAGCCCTAGAGGAAGAACTTCAAGTACTAAGCAATAACCTATTATCCTTAAAGCGATATGAGGAGAAGGTAAGACCATTTATGGGCCGTAGCTCCAATTATCGCATAATCCGTGTTGTCGTTGAATAAATCTTTTCTGCTGTCAGCTCAGTGATTGCTCATTGTGAAGAAAGCAATTTGTAAAGTCAGCTTCACTTTCTCAATATTGTAAATTTGGCAGTGAGCACTGATACTGGAGAAGACAACTAGAAAATGAATGATGACTGAAAACTCCTGACTAACTCCGCCTGGCATGTTCATCCCTATGTACATGTCTCTTATTTCATTTTTTAAAAGTTCCAATGAGGTTGACTATTTATATTTTTAAGTACGACTAAAGGGGGTGGGGGCAGATACAAGTTTAAGAGTAGGTTGGGTTATCAGGAGTTGTCAGTGTCTGCTTGTTATAAGTAAGAATTTTGAGGGTTTTTTTAATCAGTCGGAAACTGCAGACCATTCCGGCACATCAGTGTTGATATAGTGGTTGAACAGAGTTATGTTATTGTGCCCACTGTTTGGATTTCCTTTGTAGTGTTTGCGCATGATAACCTTGCATCCCGTGTTTATAATGTGATAAACTAATCCCAAAGAAGTAGTAGTTTCTTCTGACTTTTGGAAGATTTGAATGACATCTGTGCTAACATCGGTTAACCTCACTTGTGTCATCCATGCTGCTGTGGTTTTCTTAGCTGCAATAAAATTAGTTTTCTTTCTTGTTTACTTCTCACCAATCTGGATTAACAGCATATCATTAGTGAGAAATACACAAGAGAATGAAAACTTTCAAAAATTATTAATATTAAAGCATTTCAAGCCAAATTATTATTTTTAAATGCTCAATTGGTTACATTAAAAAAATATTAAAAAACAGAACTAAAAAAATATAACTCTGTATATTAAAGACTGCACGCAATTGGAAGGGAAAAAAACCCAGTTTTTGGCAGTAGGACAAAAATCAAATGTGTAGGTAGACAACAGTGGACAACAAAGCTACAGAGGCTGATTCAGGTGGTTCAGAAGGCATGGGATTGCTTGACTGAAAGCATGAACCTGCAGCCAATGGAAGCAGATGGTAGTCTTGTTTTCTTCTTCCCTTCCAGCAAAATGTGGGAACTGGATGAGGAGCTTCATGTAGTGGGCAACACTATCAGAACTCTGTCCATCCAAACTGACCAGGTAAGTCCAGGAGCATAGCTAGGACTGGTCTGCAGTTTTGATTCTATTGCCAGCTTTTGTTGTATTTGTTTGACTTGGTCTGTTTTACAGGGACATCAGTGAGTTTGAAGAAGACTTGACCACAATTTGAAGATTTGGGAGATCAACAGGTGACAGACTGTTTCGAGGTCACATCATCCTGGAAACTTATTGCAGCACATCCCTTCATTCCCATTAAATTGGAGATATTTGTTTTGTTTAGATCGCAGTTAGTTCACCTTAGCCTTGGCTTTGGCAATGACATGTTTAAGTGATTTTCCAGTTTTCATAAACCTAAGTGGATTTGTTTTCCCCACCATGCTGCTGATGAAAATATAACAGCTGACATATGCCATCAAAGTAATCAGTTATGGCATCCAAAAGACCGAAATAAATAGCCAGTTATGGAATTAAAAACACAGCGGTGGATGTTGCAGTAGATGTAAGTCTGCTGAAGTCAAACATCCAACTGGGCAGACAAAATACAAGAGAAGATGACACTGCTTGCATGCAGGGAATCATTTACCTCACCTTGTGGATTTCTTCTTCTTCACATTCACCAGCTGTAAACACTGGCTGAAAGTTCTGGTTGTTCATCCACTTCTGGACTGCAATCCTGTTCCAAAACCTGAGTGTTGCGTGTGCTTCCGTTTTACAGATCTGACTCATTTGTATGCAGGCTGCTGGTTCATTGCCTCTCAAGCAGATGCACTCTGACTTCGAAGGAAGCTCCCAATTAGTCGACTCTTACGACATGTTTCTGGGTTGGCAGTGGGTCTATTCTTGTTTTCCCTATAATAGGGCCCCGGAACCCACACGGGGAACCTTGTGGATTTATTCGGTATCTTGTGATGTCAGTCCACATTTTCAATGTCCAAATATTGATTCGTTTGTTTCTTTTTGAAATATCAAAATAGTAATAGTAATTTCATTTAAAATTCTAATTTTATTAGTACTGTTAAAGTGTTGGATGGTCACCAGTTTTATCGGGTGTGACAGAAGTTCTCCTTCTCTCTCAACACCCTCCCAGATGTATTATAACATGTCTACTCAAAAAGTTATTGACAGTGCCCTGAATAACTATCAGTTATAAACAAGGAAATCTGAAACCTCTATCCATTCAGAGTAACTTCCTTTGAACTGCACAAACTTCTGTAAACGAAGCCACAATTAAGGGAAGCATTTCATCAAGGTCTCTTTGAAAATTAAATGCTGTTCCACTGCCAAACTTCAAATAATCTCTTTTCTTGGTTCAGTATAGGTTAGTTTCGACATCATTTTTAAACAGAAGAAAAGCCAAAGGTTGCAAGAAGTCATGTTCGGAGATTTTGGAGTCTGACAAATTAGAGGCAAGTTGTGCTTGGCCACAAGTTGGAATCGGATACGAAGCAAGGGCAGATGCGTAGTAAAACTGATTAGTTCCCATTGTCCACTAGTAGTGTTCTTCAGTTAATTTGACACTTTATTCTACTCTAGAATGTAGGGGTTACTTTAGATAATTATTTCATTATTTTGACACTGTCTGATGTGAGGAGCAGCTGGTTAAGTGGTTAAAGTGCTAAGCTCTTGTTTGGGAGACTGAGATTCAAACCTCAGTAAGAGATGAACATTTTGTATTATAAACGCCCAAATAAAACTAACATGCATTGTTTATGTTGAATGCACTAGCCCTGCGGCCTCTCTCCTGCACTTAAAAAAAATAATCATAATAAATCTAAGTATGGGCAGTAAGGTGGTACTCATGCAAGACACATGGCTTCAGTTCTTTGGTAAGGTTGGGGATTTTTTCAAGTTGGGGGCAAAAATAAAATCCTCACCTGCACAGTCTGTGGTGACAACACTAGCTATGTGGCCCTAAATCCTCACCTGCACAATCTGTGGTGACAACACTAGCTATGTGGCCCTAAATCCTCACCTGCACAATCTGTGGTGACAACACTAGCTATGTGGCCCTAAATCCTCACCTGCACAATCTGTGGTGACAACACTAGCTATGTGGCCCTAAATCCTCACCTGCACAATCTGTGGTGACAACACTAGCTATGTGGCCCTAAATCCTCACCTGCACAATCTGTGGTGACAACACTAGCTATGTGACCCTAAATCCTCACCTGCACAGTCTGTGGTGACAACACTAGCTATGTGACCCTAAATCCTCACCTGCACAATCTGTGGTGACAACACTAGCTATGTGGCCCTAAATCCTCACCTGTACAGTCTGTGGTGACAACTCTAGTTATGTGACCCTAAATCCTCACCTGCACAGTCTGTGGTGACAACTCTAGCTATGTGGCCCTAAATCCTCACCTGCACAGTCTGTGGTGACAACACTAGCTATGTGACCCTAAATCCTCACCTGCACAATCTGTGGTGACAACACTAGCTATGTGGCCCTAAATCCTCACCTGTACAGTCTGTGGTGACAACTCTAGTTATGTGACCCTAAATCCTCACCTGCACAGTCTGTGGTGACAACTCTAGCTATGTGACCCTAAATCCTCACCTGCACAATCTGTGGTGACAACACTAGCTATGTGGCCCTAAATCCTTACCTGCACAGTCTGTGGTGACAACACTAGCTATGTGGCCCTAAATCCTCACCTGTACAGTCTGTGGTGACACAAGCTATGTGGCCCTAAATCCTCAGGCTCAAAGACTCCCCTGCCTATGCCATAAAAGTGGTAAATACTGGCTGTAATGGCAGTTTGGTACTGTAGTGGCTATATTCTCACCAGCTGTTGCAAAAGTCTTCAGGTCAGAGATTTTCCTCCACAATTTGATTTGGTTCCAGGTCAGCCCCACATAGAATGGAAATAACTTAGGAAATAAAGATAACCAGCAGATGTTGACTTCCTCAGCCACTGAACGCCAATTTGTCTACAAAAATATGAGTTAAACATCATATGCCCGATAGGCCATTGGCATAAAAAGTTTTGTTTGTTTGTTGCCATACAATAATTATAATGGTGACCACTTACTGTGTATTTCCCATCTGTTGACAGGCTTCTCAGAGGGAGGATAGCTATGAAGAATCAATCCGAGATCTGACCCAGCGACTCAAAGATGTGAGTAGATGTGTGTCAGCGAGTATGTTTTTTGTCAGTTAACTAATGTAGTGTTTGGCAGCATGACATTGGTCTGGGGGAACCTGAACTTTTGCCTGATGGCCAAATGCCAGGTAGTGATGCTGTTCATCTCTTGGGTTGTTCCACATGAAACAAAAAATCTTTTTATGTATCCAGAAACCATGAGTTGTAAACCCTTTGGCTCTGTACTATGAATATCGCAACCCTTCGGCCTTGATTCCATTTTAGGTACTGTAAATCTGGGAGAAATTTGGCTTTTCTGCCTACCTCCGGACCACAAGAAGTTCGTCACCCTGTCGCTGTGAAGTCAGCTTTAACCAACTACGCTAGTGAGCTCGGCTGTTGTTGCACATGGAATGATCCTCTTATTTAGTTTCAATAGCAGTGATATTTCCTAATATCTGTTGATGCCAGCCACCCAAAGAAGGTGATAGTTGAAAAATGAACCTGATTAAAAGTTTGGTGCCCGTGTTTTTCTCTGCTCACTGTGTGTCATTGGGAACCCGAATGAAAGTCTGCCTAACCTTTCCTTTGTTTATAGGGCTTGACCTACTAAAATCTTACTCTAATTTGAATCTGTATTGTCAGATATGGCTACTGTGTTCTTCCATTGCCCTAAAAACTTGATCTTAGGGATCTTCTTGTGTGTCTCATCCATAAAGTAGCTTGTTGCCAAATGGAGCAGCAGCAGCCAATCTATCAATCTGCTGACTGCCCCTACACTTGCATCTGCTGGGCAGAGAATTCACAGTGTGATTGTGACTGGGCTTGTTATAGTCGCACAGACAACTCTGTGCATAGCATACCAGATTCTATTTTCTGAAGCAAACTTGTGGTCTTTTCATTTGCTTGCCAGTAGTTTATCATCTCATTAATTTGACCTTTAGTTTTCATTCTTGATTGTCAGTCTCTCCTGTTCACTGGTTATAGGGTAACATTTTATTAATATTTTTTAAATCATTGACAAGCACACATTTTATAGCCATTTCATTATAGTTATGGTCTGTCATTTGCAGTCCATAGAATAATGTATGGATTTCAGGGGTGGGCAGGGAAATGTATTACCATCCCATCTCATAATATTATGACTTCGTATGAATAAAATCATCATCATTTCACATTCCTACTGGAGCCTCATCCCATTTAAAGCACACACTTAATTGATGTGAATCTTCCCACATTTTTGTGTTTCATTTCTTCTGTCCTTTTTAACTTATAAAGTGAACTTCCGGTCAGTATGGCGGATAGGTGGGCTTACTGTTTTTAGTCGTAGCTAGTTTTTGTTTCTGACAATGTTTAGCGGTTACATTTTCCTTCATATGTACACTGAAAATTTTTTATTTTGGTCACCCAGCTACTGAGTTACTGTATTGTGTGACACTGTGAGCTATGGATTTCATTTGGAATGCTTTTCAACTGCCCATGTGGTTTGTGTTGTGAACTACAGATTCACAAAATGGCTAGTGGCCTGTTGTCTGAGAACTGATGGTGTGTGACTAATGCGATAGTGTGTGCAGATTTGTAACTGCTGCTACCTTCGACAAAAAAACAGCATGTCTGTCAGTGTTAGCACTTCTGATGGCTGCCTTATACATTTAATGCGTGTATGCTATTGGCTTTGTTAGGACTGCAGTCTGTGTGAATTTGTTTCACAAGAGACATAGATGGAAATTTTGTGTGTTTTATGCTGGCACAGGACCGGAGCAGCTATGGGAAACCCGTTTGCTATGAAGTTGAAACTGGGATTACCTGATTATCTTAGCCTATATAATATTTTCTCTCACATGTTGTGTGTCTACCAATGACAAATTCTGTAACTGCATTTCTCACCTGGCTGTATTATAATAGGCTGAAAACCGTGCCAGCGAGAGTGAGCGCACTGTGGTCAAACTACAGAAAGAAGTCGACAGGTTGGAAGGTATGTGCTTCTTCTCTGTTATATTGAAGTTTTGAATTACTTGACTTGTGTGTGTGTGTGTGTGTGTGAGTGTGTGTGTGTGTGTGTGTGTGTGTGTGTGTGTGTGTGTGTGTGTGTGTGTGTGTGTGTGTGTGTGTGTGTGTGTGTGTGTGTGTGTGTGTGTGTGTGTGTGTGTGTGTGTGTGTGTGTGTGTGTGTGTGTGTGTGTGTGTGTGTGTGTGTGTGTGTGTGTGTGTGTGTGTGTGTGTGTGTGTGTGTGTGTGTGTGTGTGTGTGTGTGTGTGTGTGTGTGTGTGTGTGTGTGTGTGTGTGTGTGTGTGTGTGTGTGTGTGTGTGTGTGTGTGTGTGTGTGTGTGTGTGTGTGTGTGTGTGTGTGTGTGTGTGTGTGTGTTCGTTCCAATACTCATGTATGACTTTAAAGTATGTGTAGTCAACAAACATATGACAATCTGGCATCATGTTATCATTCAATACATTAAATAGTGATGATCAGTGGCGGCTCGTGTACGATAACATGCCATATAATTGAGTCGTCTCACTATAATGAGCTTTTACCATCTTGAATTTGTAATAACACATAATTGCAGAAATTAAATGGAAATCATAAAGAGAATCAGAATGGCCAAAACTGTTTTTGGCAGCAGGAGAAAAATATTACTTAGAGCGATGAACAGCACAGTGAAAGTAAGACTAGTGTATCGTTATTTACACTAAACTCTAATGTACAGAAATCTGCACCGTGAACAGTCATTTAGAAAGTATCATTAAGACCCTGGATTTGTGGATATCACAAACATTAGAATGTGATAATCGTCATTTTTGGCATGTGAGAAAAGAAAAACTGAATCATGTTGTGATAGCCAGAAGTATTGTGGGGAGAAGATGTAAAGGTCATCCACGCTATGACATTTGATATAATGGTGATATTCAACCAAAGGATTTTCTTAGTAAGAGTTGAAAGTTCTAATGGCCTTACATAGAATGCTGAAAGTATAAACTTAACGGTTGTTTTGCATTGAGAATTAATCAATGTTTGTCACATTGAGAATTAACAGATAACTTTTCTGCAGTGGGAATTAACAGTTACCTATTGTCAAAAGAATTAACAACTTTGTCACACTGATAATTAGTAGTTTGTCATGTTCAGAGTTGAAAATTAACTGTGTTGCATTGAGAACTAACAGTTCAATTTTTCATAGTGAGTATGGTTTTAACTTTTTTGCTGTGAGAGTTTATTGCAGTGAAAATTAACAACTAACCTTGGTGATATTAACAGCTAATTTCTCAGCATGTGTAGTGTCCAGTCGTTTCAACTTTTATTTTTTCTTATACAGTATGTATGACAGTAATAATCACGACCTTCTGTCTTAGGTACTGGCAGTTATTTCTGATAGGGATGTTCCTCCATCATTACAAATCAACATTTTCTCTGGTCTCCTGTTGCCTCTCTTTCCCTTCAACTTTCTCATTGTTTTGACAACAAACTTCAGTTTTTCCCTTTTCTTGATAGGCCCAAAGAATGGACTACGCTCTTTTAATGTGAATGACAAGAACTTTTTGTGATTTAACTCTTTACGTCATTCTTCATTATGCTTTTTAATATAGGTCTTGAGAATTCTCTTTTCTATTTCAGTTAACAAAGATAGATCTTAATTTAGAAATATACTCCTTTAAGCTGGGCTTTTGTACTCTGACTTCTTCAGTACATCTTTTATCTACTAACTTTAAATTGAAAATCATAATTGATAATTATTCTTCTTAACTGTCACCGGCTGTAAACTCAAACCTAAATTTCTGGTTGTTTGTCCACCTCTGGATTTTAGTCTTGTTTCAGAACCTGGGCAAATAATTCATAATTAACAGCAAAGCAAACATAATTTAGACTTGCACTTCGAAGGCGAATGATGGGAACTTGTACTAATGCATGTGTCGTTGCATGACTTTGATGTGTGTTTGCAGATGAGCTTGAGAATTCTAAGGAACAGAGCATCAAGTTAAGAATGGAGATGGATCAGTGTATCTCAGAGATGGAGAATCTCTAAACTGCATGAAAGGTGGAGTTAACATGTGCATGTTTTTTTATTTTTTATTTTCAATGACCATTTAAAAAAATGTTTTTAGGATAGGGGATAAGGTAACCTGCCATCTTGTGCAAGCGTCACTATTTGTAAAGAAGAAAAACACATGTAGTTGTCAAAAACTACATAAGCTGCAAATAATTCACAGCTGTGGAGAAGGAGATTTAAAATACACTTTAGGGTGTTGAAGATAATAAACAAGAATCCAAGGTTGGGTGTCAGAAATAATAATGAAGAAAACAGGAAGTCAGAACAGTAAAGAAGACTCTTGAATATTTGTATGTAGTTTTGAGTATTGAAATTATGCCTATATTTCCTCAATATTAATGAGTAACTGAATAAGTAAAGACCATATTCTTAGTGAACAAAGCAAACATTCTCATAACTTACAACTCTGTTGTTATGGACCTTCTCCCATACCTTGAAGTGTAGCAAGTGTACGGTTCTAGACCCAGAGATTTTTAAACATTTTAGTGGGTGATACTGTCATTATGCCAGCCACCTTTACTTCCCAGTACATGCCCTGGGTATGAGACCTGTCAGTTTTAAACCAGTCCCTGTCTGTAGGGAGATTATCTTCCTTAGGATTTCCTTAGTTAATTATGTCACAGTAGACTATGTTCGTCGGCTCTGTGGCTAAGTCGATGCGAACGCTTCGTAATGCCGGGTTCGATCCCAGCTGTGGGCCATGCGCCTTGTGTTGGTTTCGACAGTGGTATCAAGGGGCCGACTGTCCAGAAAGCAATGACAAACTACTGGATGAATATTTGCCTAGAGAAACCACACAACAGCCAGGGGCTGCTGGAGTTGGTTTTGCAATGTCCTGTAAAGGATATGCAACTAATCAGACTATGTTCAGTTGATTATTGTTTGAGAAAATGTTGACCTTTGACCTATTTGTATGAGAAAATGTTGACCTTTGACCTATTTGTCTCCTGAACAGATGAGCTGCTGGTGGAGAAGGAGAAGTTCAAGACAATTTCGGAAGAACTGGATTCGACGTTCGCCGAGCTGGCAACCTACTGAGCCGACATATCTGCTTCAACACTGTTAATACACGGGCTTCCTCTCTCATGTCATTTGTTCTATCTTACAGTTGCTAACGGTTCCAGCTCAGGCTTGCCAGATTTTTGTCACACCACCTTGGCAGCGTTGTCCAATTTCATAATAGCTTTTGTTACAAACTCTGCCTCTTTTACTGTAAAAATGTCTTTATAAAATCTTGAGTTTTTAAAGTAATATTTTTGATGTGAATTAAAGTGTCACCCTACTATTGCCTTAATCTGTCTCCACTGTGTGGTAAAATTCACTTTGTCTTATAAAGATGTCAGCAACTGTTATGTTTCATGTCACATTAAAGGAAAATATAGGGATAATTGATATTTTAATATTTTATTTGGTTGAAACTCTAAAACTTATTTGCAATTGTTTGAAAGAACCTGGAGTAGAGAAATATGTATTTAGGAGCTTGGAATTATGTAAAAAAAAAATTTAGTTCAGTATGATATGTTTGTCTTACAAAACTCAACATCCTGAAAACTGAACACAATTTTCTGGGAAAAGAAGATGGAGACGACAAAGGCAGTATTAAGACAGTGAAGATGAGGTAAATGTCTGAATGAACCTTCAGTGTTTGTACAAGCAGTTGTAATATCTTTGACGCAGCTAGTGTGCCACTTGGGCACGTTTTAATTTGTCAGTAAGCTCAGCACAGATGACTGGTCTATGTCTCTCATTCAGTATCTTTTATCTTCTACCTCTAATTCTAAAGGTGTGTGCTGTATTTGGGTTTTTAAAAATATGTAGAGTAAATCATACACATTATCTTAATGATAAACATTAGAAAACATCACCTTTGCTCCAGTTTGGACTGATATTTTGTGTGGTTCTCTCTTTTTTTTTAAACAGCTTTACTGCAGTTTCACTGTTTTAAATAGCAAACCATGATAAATTCATGTTCTTTGTTAGTACATGAACCTCTCCATCTGCATTGTTCCACTACACATGGAGACTATTATTGGTAAAATAATTATCCGTTATTCACTTTTCGCTCAGATCTGTCAGATATTGTCACAGACTAGGCTGTCGGTGCCATACTCTAGCTGTGTCAAGAGAAAATTTTTATATGAGAACATCTGTGTTTTGTTTTTTTTCATTTGTGTGTGTGTTAATGCTAGTTTGAAATGTTTATTGTCTGTGTCCCACACATTTGCATGTTTGTTTACTCATTTCAGTTAGATCTTTGTCTGGGTAAGATATCATTCAAAAGTAACTCACTGCTGTCCACAGTAGCCCTTGTAACAATGAGCTGATACTTAGAGTAAAAAGCTGTTTCTTGAGTAGTAACAATGATTCCGGAGAGGTCAGAGCACAAGGGAATCTCATCAGAAGAAAATCATTATTTGGTCATGTCATGAGAAGATGAATGAACTTGAATACCATGTATTGTAACAATAGTGGATTAAAAGCCAAAAAAATAATGTTGGCCCCATGGCATGAAAATATCTAAACATAGTGTGATCAAAGTGTTGTGGAGATGGTATGATCATCTTTCAGCAAAGCATTAGAAGTTTGTAATCGGAACTGTTCGTGAAGGCAAGAAAACCAGTCATATTATACTGCTTGATTCCTATCTGTTCCAGGTATGCACTCAGACAGTACCGTTAGTTACAATAATAGCTGATACCTGTCGTCCTGGTAACGCATTAAAAAAAAATGGCTGGTGCCTCCATAGGAATTCTCGAAAACATCCTTAGAAATTTATTTTTTTCCATTGGTTGCCGATAAATGTTTTCAAAATTAACTGTCTGCATTTTTATTTCAAAGTGTAAAACCATGTTATCAGTAAACACGGAGTAAATATTAAATAGTATACATTCTCCTGGGCCTGTCATGTGACGCATGCCACGACTTCTGTCTCTGAGGCTTATGGGCAAAATTGGTCTTGATTTGGCTTAAGAGAAAGTGTTTTGGTTTACAGGAAAACTCTGAATGTAGCTTTTATTAGCTAATATAATGATATCCTGACCTCGTTAACATTTGTGCAGGTTGAGACTCGGCCAGTAGCATTAACTGTGCTTTGTAAACATGCCCCTATAGACAAATCAGAAAAACAACATTTACAGGGAATGGAACCCAGCTAAAAGTGTTGGTTTTGCAGCCTCTTAGGGCAACGGTTGAAAGACTGCCGATGTCTGATGACAAGCAGGAGGATAATCATGTTGGCATGTTTTTCATTACCAGGCTGTTAATACCACAGGAGGCTTCGATTATAGAGCAAATGATAGAGTCAGACTGAAATGTTTTGGTAAATGTTTATTTCAACTTTCCTGTTAAACTTTAAAGTGGATGTAGACCAGAATCATTATCCACAAGGGAAAAAATAACAGTATGTCATGCTCCACTGGTGGAAATGAATAACAGACACCCTACATGCTCAAGCTTCATACCCAACCTCTCTGACATTCCTTCATATTTCACCCGAGGTAGTTTTTCTATGCCTAAAACACTGCTGCTGTTTTTTTTTTTTTTAAATCATATTATTAAAAATAATGTTTACAGATTCTGATACTGCATACTGTTTTATACTTTTAAGAATCACCACTCTATGCAAGTACACTTCCGTTTATTGTATCTATTTGGTAAGGATGGGTGTAATGGTGAACTTAGCTATCCATTGTTTGTGTGAGAAAATAGGATTTTGTCACTGGGCTCTTATTGTGTGTGATTTAATGGATGATTTCTTATGATATTTTGATAGCTGGATGTATCTAGTTTGGAGGTTTCAAGACAAGACAGATACTCGAAATGTATACAGATTGAAAATTGATAATAGAAACATGCTGCTGATCTACAAGAGCAGCACGTAGACATGCTGTGTTGATTTATCATTGCAACAGGTTGCTAAAGCGTGCTGTGCTGATCTACAAGAGCAGCAAGTAGACATGCTGTGTTGATTTATCATTGCAACAGGTTGCTAAGACATGCTGTGCTGATTTACAACGGCACTGTGTAGACAGACCGTACTGCATAATGGATTCCTGTTCGAGAACTTGAAACCTATGTGCAATGTTCTGGTAGCATTTCGTGTTTACAAGATAGTGCACAAGTTTAGCAATTGACTTGTCTACCATTAAATTACTTTTTTTTGGGTAGATCGCTAGGTATTTCATCAACAAATTGGTAGTTATCATCTATCATCATACATAAAATTGAAAAGATGATATTTAAATCACCACCAGAAGAAAGTTAATGTTACAATATATAACAAAAATATTTCTGACACTTATATTGAAATATAATCTAATGGAAATAAAAGTATGCATATTTTCAAAAGTAAAATTTGAATTGAATGTATTTAGTCTAAGCATAATTAGGACACTCAGGTTATTTATTCTTTCTCCAACAAATTTGGAACTGCTTTCTGTCATACAAAACAAACAATCAATTTACAACCTACTTTCACTCACAAATGCTGTTAATTGTAAAATGTTATGCTTAATGTTATAATCAAATACAAAGTCAAGATCTGTTATCTTGCATTAGCTTGTTTTTTTTGTTTGTGTTTTAATATATAGTCTTCTCAAATGTTCAGCTGGTTAAAGTCTGCTTGCAGATTTGATGTGCTTGTGTGGATGTGTACGACAGGTACAGATTTGATGTGCTTGTATGGATGTGTACGACAGGTACAGATTTGATGTGCTTGAATGGATGTGTACGACAGGTACAGATTTGATGTGCTTGTATGGATGTGTACGACTGGTACACATTTGATCCAAACGTCGACCATTAACTTTTGCTAAGAAACCTCAAGCACTTCTTCATTTGTGAAAGAAACATTTGAGGCCCCTACATATTGTGAGGTCCTGAGCTGCGGCGCAGGAACTGAAGAACTCTGATTTAGACGGCAGAAGCAAAGAAAGAAACAATCAGTTAAAAGTGACACTATGAAAAAAGGCACAAATTAAGTCAAATAATTCTTCTTCTTCTTCTCTTCCACCTTGTACCTCATCGAAGTGTCGGGGGGAGATGTAATGTTCGTTAATGGACTCTGTCAAGAGCACTATTAAGACTGATGTTCATTTCTGTAAGGCTGTTCTTAATGCCATCACTCCATCTTTTCCGATGTCTTCCACTCGATTAAGTCAAATTAATTGTCCCTAATATGCAGCATTAGAAATCTTGGGCCATGCTGATGATGATGATGATACTTGAAGATTATTTTTAAAAGTTTATCTTTGTCACTCTTTTAAGTCCTTCTAGTATTTCTCAGAATTATTATGGGGAGAGAAGAAGGCATAGAAATAGGAGTGCAGGACCTAGGAGAACAAGGCGAAAAGCGGAGAGATTGAGCTTTAATAATGTAAGAGTAGATACTGGAACTGTCGGAGTGCTAGGCAGAGAGGTCCTGTACTGGAGAGGTTGATTTTTGATTTTGATGTCATCATTCTCCAGGAGCTAAATACAGACAGATATCATTGCCCGGGGTATGTCAGTTATATAAATTCTGTTGGACAGGAAAGACATGGATAAGGTCTGGTGGTAAAGGAGGGAGTGAAGCATGTGGTGCTTGACTTGAGCCAGTGGAAGAAAGGTTCAAGGGATACAGGTGGAGATTAGTGGCTTAAATTGAAACCTCATAAATATACATGCCACGGTAGACTGTTTTGTCAGAAGTGAACAATGGGGCAGGCTCACGGAATTGATGGAATTACCAGGTGATAGGTTACTCATATGTGGGGATTTCAATGCGAGGAACAGAGAATGGGACAGCAGTGGAGAAAACCGACAGGGAATTGCTCTTGCAGAGGCCATGGCTGACTCTGATATGGTCTACATCAATTATGGGAGGCCGACTAGGATGGCAATGAGGTCTAGCGATGCAGACACAGCCATTGACTTGACATTTGTCTCTCAGTTGTCGGTTTTAGATGTTAAATGGACTGTCCTGAATGACCATGGGAGTGATCACCTACCATGTTCAGTCCTGATTTCTAAAGCCAGTAAGGTTAAGGATGGAAGAGCAG